CTTCCCCCCCTCTCCCCCCCCCCTCCGCAGGGCTTCAAAGCCAACCTGGCGCTCCTGCGGCGCCCCGGGGAAAAGACGTACACGCAGCGCTGCCGCCTCTTTGTCGGCAACTTGCCGGCGGATATCACGGACGATGATTTCAAAAGGTTGTTCGCCAAGTACGGAGAGCCCGGAGAGGTTTTTATCAATAAAGGGAAAGGATTCGGATTCATTAAACTGGTGGGTTTTTCTGCTTCCCGGCCTTCGCTTTGCATTAGCTGGCTGCGGAAGTAGAAGGGTTTTGCTGAAGCTCTTCCTCCCCTCCCCCGCCCCTCTTCCTCCCCCAGGAGTCCAGAGCTCTGGCTGAGATTGCCAAGGCCGAACTCGACGATACCCCCATGCGGGGTCGACAGCTCCGCGTTCGTTTTGCCACGCACGCTGCCGCTCTGTCCGTGCGTAACCTTTCACCGTACGTGTCCAATGAGTTGCTGGAGGAAGCGTTTTCTCAGTTTGGTCCAGTCGAAAGAGCTGTTGTGATTGTAGACGACCGTGGTAGATCGACAGGAAAAGGCATTGTTGAATTTGCCTCTAAGCCGGCTGCTAGAAAAGCATTTGAACGGTGCACTGAAGGAGTGTTCTTGCTGACAACGTAAGTTTCAGTTTACAGCGCTTTATGTGCTGTTTTGGAAATAGTAATTGTGTTATCTAGGAGAACAGCTCTGTGTCGTGGTCTCATAACATATTTTTAAACGCAAGTTGTTCTCTTCTAGAGATTGAAACAAGTTCAAACCTAAAAAAATTAAAATGGATTTTTTTTCTTTAGTACTCCTAGACCCGTTATTGTAGAGCCTCTTGAACAACTGGATGATGAAGATGGTCTTCCAGAGAAACTTGCTCAGAAGAATCCTTTATATCAAAAGTAGGTATTTTGTCTTCTAAGCAAGTGTCAGATTTAGTGGCTTTAGAAATGTCATGCCCTAAATTTCTAATTCGATCTATAGATCTTGTTCATTTTTGTTGTTGTTGTATTTTAGTGTCTATTGAATAGGCACTTATTTATGCCACTTATAAGTAGGGAGGCAATTCTACCTACCATTGTTTAAATTGAATCATTTTTTTTTTAGATTGATGTGCCTCTAACTGCAGCTTAGCAGTTTTTAGACAGGAACATGGAAATAAAATGGGTGGGGGCAGCACAGACTGCTGAAAGAAACACGATGTATTTCACACTGGGTAAAACAGAGTCCCAAAGCCACTAACATGGTTTTTAATATGGCAATAACAGCTAAAGTCAAGATTTTTACAAAAATGGTTTTAACAAAAACAATCTCTAACTTTTTTGACGGATACAGCTTTGTATGTTACTTCTGAATGGACTGCAGACGTAAGTATTTCTTTTGAATACAGCTATTAAAGTATTTTTCCATAAAAGAATAGCTATTTGATTAATCAGCAGCTCAAAAATTTAATAAATTATTAAAAGTTATGACATATGGAACCTGTTATTGGACCCAGCTAATTGGCTCTGTTTTCTTTTATTTATTGAATGTAGTGGTCTGTGAGATTTAAGATGGTCTAGAACAGGGGTTTGGTGCTGCTTCTGGCCAGAGCTTGCAACCCAGCCCCTAATGTTTAGCTTGTGTTTTTAAATGCAGCCCCAACATGCCTCTTATGGTACTGCAGCTTGAGAAAGTAATTAACATGGAACAAATACCTTAAGTGAAACTTGTTTCCCAACCCATCTCTTAAATATTATATGAACAAATTTTTTATTCTCT